ATTTTAAAGAATTTTATTGGACAAATATCATGTGATTGATAAGTGATCTGCAGAACAAAATTTCGGACTGTTCGGTCCACACCATAGTTACCGTATCCTTTTTAATGGGTCCCCCTTTTTAATAGATGATTTTCACCCACCAAATGAATTGCGTCACCAAACTAGTCACGTCGATTGTTTATATCTCGCTCAACCCACAACAAACTTTTGCTTTGCGCGAGTCGCCCCAGGATATACGGGTACGTTTATGCGCCTGGAACAAAGGCCTCTCTCCTTGGTTTTGATAATAATAAATACAATCATACGAGACGGATAGTCATAAACGTTAACTTTTCAATAAAAAAGGGCCTTTTTATTACTTTCGCGGTCTGCCCTCGCCATCGTCCAATCTCCAGAGAGGAGATGAATGGCTGGCCGCCCTTACGGGAGTAACGAGAAGATAAAATAATTTATAGCGTTGCTCTCGTTGCCGAGAAACGTCTGCTGGCGACATGAGAAACGACCTTCGTGTCATGTGGTGGAATAAAAGATATTCCGGTAAGTACCATATAGCTTGATACTAATTATGAACTCTCAATCAATTTTAGTACCAGTTGTGCTTAATATCGCACATTATTCATTTTGTAGACAGTTGGTTCACGCCGAACGTGAACGAGAACGAGGACGGGGCGGTGGTGTTGCGTAAGTATCAAACTTTTGATGATGGAGTACGAGCTATTCTACGCGAATATTCAGTAACTAATACGCTATATCGTTTTAGATACTCCACACCACCGCATTCCCGTGTTTGAGCAATCATTGCTCAAAAAGAAATGCGTGTCCATCGCCGATGGTGGACGTTCATCCCACCCGAACGGTATCTTAACGATACTATCGGATTTGTAAGTATGATTTTCAAATAATAATAATAATAATCATTGTCTTAAAACGATCTATACCTTTTCGCTAACATTATATCAATAAATAATTATTGGCACAGAATCCGATATGATTGCCAGCAAGTACAAGAAGCAATCTGGGGGGTCGAGCGGCCCATATTTTCTTCTCTTGCTTTTCGTTCGGGTGGTTTTTTTTTTTAAAAAACATTATCATATGTTTCCCCCTTCTTATCGTCCGTTTCTTCTTCTTTTTTTTTTTTTTTTTTAATTAATTTTATACATTTATCCCATTTTTTGATCAAGCAGACGGGATAGATGTATAGAATGTCCCGCTCCCCCGCCCCTTTATGGTGGGAGGAAGAAATACATATTGTTTCAATTTCAATTATTATTATAAATTCGACGATACAATAATAAATTTATTATTACTATTACGATCATACTTAAGCCGATAATAAGAATATTATAATAAATACGACGGTACAATAGTAAATTTCACCGAACACGAATTTCGAATGTAAACTTTATTCATCAGACGTCATTGAACATAAATTTCATATGTAATCTATGCAGTATACGACTGGGAATTAGATGCACTATGCTGGTACGGGCAGAAGGAGGTGTTCAACCGTTAGATAAGATTGTACATGCTTATTCTCTCTATTAGATATGATAGTCATGTGCCTAATCTGGTATCCGTAGAGTGCTCGAGCATGTAGCCAGTGTCTGCTTATGAAATTCTGAACTAGGTATTTGGTATGATCGGTACAACCAACGCCTATGCAGACATCTACGACCTAAATGCAACCTTCACCACATCGGTTGAAGGGGGTCCAATCTGCATTTATTATCGCCATCGCGTGATCACCTGCTCTTCTCTCTATGATTCATGATTCACACATTATCTGCGCTCGTGCGCGCTGGAGTCGAAATTGGAAACACGGAATCCATGCCGCAATCTGCATTTATTATAGACATCGTATGATCACCTGTTCTCTCTATGGATGGGTGTGGAGATATGGCAATGGAAATAGAAATACGGGATCCAAGCCGAATGCAGTATTTTCATAATATAGTTAGAACATCTTTCGTCCACCTTTTCTTAATACTCACGGCAATATTCTGATGAGTCGCCTTGACTGACAACAGAAAACTAGATCAAGTTTTCGAAGTTCTTATCATGACTTGAATGATTCGGATGTGTACTTATTGCTTGCATCCACGTACACAATTGATCCTCACTCAACTATCCTTGATTCGGTTTTCATTCTCCAGCACAATCGTCAATCGGGACATACCCTCAGGGATGTCCATCTCTTGAATACGAAATAAACAGTTGGTGGAGATTGTTGGTTAGAGAAAAGTATTTGAGTTTTTGCAAACGCTGGGAAACGATTGATACGATCAACAAGGAAAAAATTAAGAATACCTTCATGAGGATGTAATGTCAATCTTTAAATGGTGTGAAACAAACACCAGTAATATTAGCAAACGTCTGCAAGAATCAAGGGGGACGGGTAGATTATTAATGGCAATGGAGGGAGATGGAGATAAGTTAGACAAGATGATATACTGTAATGGCTGCAATGGTTGAATCAAAAATAACTCACATTTTAGTTGTTTGTCAACAACAGGTAGCTTATATTGATAGCTAGAGTGCTAATTAAGCGTTTTCTTTACTAATCTAATTGTGTTCTTTTGCACAGTACTATGTATGTGGCAGTATCGCTTTTTGATAACAAGCACCCAATTAATTTCAGGAAGTTTCCTACTTTCCAAATTTTGCCACAAGTTCGATCGACTGCCAGAATGTCGACGTCCCTCGAAGAAAAGAAATGCCGTTATTCAATCAACCATTTCGTCATTGTTATAATCACCAAGGTTCGCACGCGCCTAGGAGTTCTAATATACCCAGCTTTTCGTTCCTGGATCTCCACTGACACGCTTCCCGTCAACTGCTTTCTCTCTACAACACGCCTCTTTTCTCATTCTAATGTTCCACGTCGAGAATACACCGCTCTTCCCCACGCATCAGATTGCTCTCCAGCAAGTACGTGACCATCTACTTTATATATCAAGCACATCGTGTAGGTCTCTCAGTATCTCGTCTTGTGGTGCTGACAAAGGGGCAGATTGTGCACAATATACAGATTATATAGTAAACGCTGGCTCAGAAAACCAATGTATATGATGGCGACGATCACTTCTACTCAAGGATATAAGACACAATGGTGTAATACACTATTCCCCAATTAGTACTAGCAAAATGTTGCTCTAACATTCTGTGGATCACAAGGGTAGAACGCGATAATCTTGTAAACGTGATTTTCCATAAACTTCTGTATAACCTTTCCCTAGAATTACATTCCAACATTCTCTATAATTCATGCCCGACGAAGATGAAGGTGATGGTAATGATACACTATATAGAAAGGTGGTTACTGAGAAACGGAGATTTTGTAACTACTGTATACTACCGTGAATAAGCACCCACCCTTATCATAGTGAGGGGTGCTTATTTATGGGTTTTGAATCAAGAATTAAGGTTCAAGAGTCACTTATTCTTTAAATGGCATTTAAGAGGCAAATCTTTAAGTAATCGAGGTCTTCGAACTGTGGAGATTATTTTCTTTATCTAACAGTTTATTGAGCTCATTAAAAAAATTTATATTATAAAGGTATTTTTAATACAAAAAATTTGGGCTCTATCATTATCTTATGGTGAGTTATTTTTATCGAATTGGTCGTGTATTCCAATATAGTTTGGGTATCGCAAGAATAAAGGCGAGCACTTGTTCTACTTCTTTTCAATATGCGACGAAATCATAGTTTCTACCCGTTTCATTTCGTCCGTAAAATGTCCCCCCTCTACCCATGCTTGCACATCGTTCACCATCACCACTGTCCTCATCACTCATCTTCTTTCCTTCCTGTTCTTCCTCTTCCTTATATCATTCTATTACGAATTTTCAATTATATTACCCTCAGACATCGAAATAACCCTCCAATCCGATCCGCTTACTTGCAATTCATACCGTTTAAATAATTTCTTCCTGCTTCTCAAATATAAATACGTCTATTTATCAGATTAATTAAAGTGTTAACATCAGTCAGACCTGTTTCACTGTAACAAGATTACTAACCGACGACGACATTCTATCTACAGTATTTCTCGAGCTTTGTAAAAACGTGAACTCCTCAATCAACCGGGACATACCTTCAGGAGCGTCTATCTCTTTTGGTTAGAGAGAAGTACTGAGTTTTTGTGAACGTTGGGAAACGATTGATGCAACGTTTAAATGGTGAAACAAACACCAGCAATATCAGCAATAATCAAACGAAAGGGCAGTATTTTCTCTCGGGATCACTGATCGCGCCTAGACCTTTCTTTATGATACGTATGACTGCTAGTCAATGTTGAGGA